AAAGATAAAGGGGGCGGAACGAGAGAAGTGGGGTGTTTTAGGGTTTTGTTTTTGTTTTTTTTTTTTTTTAATTAGACTCCGACGGATTTCCGTCGTTAATCACCGACAGAAATTAATTCCGTGGGAAACTTAAAGTTCCGACGGAATATTCCGTCGGAAAGTACATATTTTCCGACGGAATTAGGTGTCCGTCGGAACAATTCCGTCGGAAATTAAATGGCCCTATTTCTAGTAGTGTGAGGAAGTAACTTAACCCCTTTTTCGGATGGATGACCCATTCGTCGGTGCCACAACTCCAAAGTCGACATTGCATTGCCTACATCCACATGATTCACCGAATCTGAATTGCTAAAATAGTATAGTCCGTCTCTCCTAGCTCCCGTCCCAATCAACTCCTTCGTTTGATCCTGTACAACACACATATAAGAATTAAACTGGACAATACAATTAAGAGTATCAGTAATGTGTGACACAAAAAGCAAATTGCAACTCAATTAAGAGTATCAGTAATGTGTGACACAAAAAGCAAACTGCTAAATTATTTATGAGAATATGTTAAATTGAACAGACTCAATTACTTGATTTCCATTGATACGACCATCGCCAATATATAATACAAGGTTTCCCTAATATGATAAAATTAGGAAATATCACAAAGATCTCAAAAGATTATATTCTAGGTACAAAATATAGCAACTAAATATTATCATATAATTTCCTAAAATATAATATCCTCAATAGAAACACATACTACTCCGTGATATTACTCGTAGTATATTAGAGCAAGATTATTGAAGAGGATACTTATATCCTCTCTTTTGCTCGCTCTCCTAATCTCTTATCGACACATCATATTCGCTTTCATCCACATAATTTTCCACTATTTCCTTCCTCTTCCTCTTTCTATTTCTATATTTTTTCACACATCATAGAGGATCCTCTCTCCTACTTTAAATGCCCTACCACTGGTTAATTATAACACAATGATATTAATTAACAAATAGTGACAATAACAAATTCTAGCATTGACTATTGAAAACGGATTTCATCTACTATCGTTAATAAATACAATACACAGACAGTTTTTAAAAAAACAATAACAATTAATGGGAAAAAAATTATAGTAATTAAGCTAGCCTAACATTGACAATAATAAAAACAGATGTCTCGTTAATTAATACAATGACTGATATTAATAAAAACAATGACCAATAACTGATAGTAATAAAAAAATGACAGTAAGTGAAAAAACATTAATAGTAATAAACCCTAATATTGACAATAATAATAAAAATTACAGCTACTCTTAATAATCCTTCATGGGACCCACACAGTAGAAATAAGCAAACTGTTTCATTGAAGGGGAAGGCAAAAAAAAAAAAAAAAAAAAAAGAAGAGTTTTGACCCACTCAACATTCCTCTTTCAAAAATTTAATATCCTCCTCACAAAGAGAATACTCGGTATATTGCATTCCCCTTGAAAGTAGTATCCCCTCTTACACTTTTACATTAAAGAGGATACTACTTTAGAGGATATTACTTTAGAGGATAATATATCCTTCCCAATGTGTGTGCTCTTGTGCCTTTTAGAGGGGTATTTGGTTCACGAATTTACCAAGTAAAAAGTTTGAATTTCGAATGATATCAACTCTTGCCGCTTTGTGAAAAAATTATAAGCCCCTAATTCTAGGGGCAAACGGAAGCTGGCATGAATGAAACAAATGCATTTTGATGCTATCACTTGATTAGAGGTCGGTGATCATTGGGCGGACCGAGCCGGGTCTAGGCCAAAAAAATCAAGTCGTATCTCGGGCCAGGCTAAACTTTGGATTGAAAAGTTTGTCCCAAATCCGTCCAAAATGGCCGGCTGTGCGGGGTTTTCAGGCCGGGTCAAAAAATTAACTATATTCATATAAAGTCTTCCCAAACCTACCCAATTTTTTCAAAAAATCGGGCCAAACTATGCCCAACCCAATTTTGGGCAGGAAAAAGCTACTCAAAATCGGGCCAATATGATCAGCTCTACACTTGATGAAACTGTGAAAGAGTGAAGCTAGTAAAAACAACCAATAAGCAGGATTCCATTAGTAAATAAACTAAGAATCTAATCTATTAGTCCGTATGATAGTAGTACGTGCAACTGAAAAGTATGCCCATGAGGCCATGAAACTCACCTATGAAATATTAAGTGGTCCACCAGACACCAAGGATGAAATTGACAATGCAAAAAGGTAAGAAGAAGAATTAGATTAAGCTGTATTTATCATCAAGTACTCGATTTCAAAAAGTTAGTCCTCATCAGCTGAATCGTGCTGATAGCCTGATTTTTCCTCTATGTACGGATTCAATGATGTTATGGTTTTATCAATTCAACATTATCGCCTTGACAAATATTTTACTTATCATACTTATAAATTAGGAAAATTTGGAATTTGGTACCTCGAAAATGGGGGCTATTGAATTTTAGTTCTGTTTAAAACTTTATTTTATTTTGGTACCCATCAAATTTTAAAATTATACCTTTTGGTACCTACGTCCAACTTCTGTTATGTTTTCCATTAGTGGGGCACATTATCTAATTAATTAATATTTTTTTTTTAAAAAAAAAAAAAAAACCCAGCCACTGCCACCCTCCCCGTCAGCCACCTTCCCCTATCCCGAGCCGGCTGTAAATGCCCAAACGTTCCCCCCAGCACCGGCGACTTCATCCCCTCCCTTTCCCCCGCCGATCTCCCTCCCCTTCCCCACTCTTGGTTGCCCCCGACATCTCCCCTTCCCCCTTTCCCCAAAATTAATTTTTTTTAGGTTTTGGAGATAAACTTTTGTAGCATTTGTTTTGTTCCAATATAGTTGTTCACCGAGTAAATATAAGTTGATATCAAATATCAACAAAACTTGTTAATATCAAAGCTAATTTTGTAAATTTAGCTCAAGGGTAATATTGTAATTTTAGCAACCATACCCCTTTCTCTCCCCTCTATCACCACCGTGCAACCTCTACTACCACCCACAGCACCACCTTTATCTTCACGAATCGACCCCTGTCGACCACCAATCGACCCCAGTCGACCACCACACGATCGTCGCACCAACATTCAGCCGCAGCACCAACATTCGACTGCCGCAACACCACTAGCTACCACCCACAGCACCACCTTTAGCTTCACTAGCCTTTACGAATCGACCCCAGCCGACCACCATAGGCCATTGCACCAACATTCGACTGCCGCAACACCACTAGTACAAGCAAATCCCTTTCCCTAAAGGGTTTGTATGGCCCTAATTTTTATAAATTGCTACTAAGGTATCGTTTTTTTGGGCGGCCGGCCATAGATCCGCGTATGTCGTCGACCTTGGGCATGGGAATGGAGGAGAGAGAAGGAAGTAGCTGCCATGGAAATGGAGGAGAGAGAAAGAAAAATTGGTCATGTGAGGGGAGGAGAGAGAAAAATTGGTGATATTAACAAAAGTTTGTTAATATCAGATATTAAGTGGGTCTGGCTCGTTGTTCACTTGTTACATCATCACCCTAAGCAGTATATATAATTTTTTTAAAAATTGGTCTATTTCACAGCAGACAAAATGTCATAAACACCTTTAATGGCCACTACTATTATACTCAATTTTCTACCCCTATTAAGTATTAAATTCATAACTGTTACTCGTAGATAATTAGCCAGACTCTTCTGTATAGACATGAAATTCAGGCCATCTATTAAATAGACCAATAACATTAAAATAAACATAAAATCAGGCAATCTGTTTAAATCATAGTAGTTGAAGTTACAATGATGTCCAGCCAATTTCTGAGGTGCATATACTGATGAAATATTTAAACCTCAACCCCCCAAAAGACATTAAAAAGGCACTACAACAAATCTGGTGGCTGAAATTGATGGCCGCTGCTATCATATATTTATACTTCACCGCATGCAGTTGCCTGCAGTCCAGGTGCACAAATAATATCATATTTTCAGAATAAATGAAGAGTATCATTTTGGGCACAATGGCAATTGTCTATAATGGTACACATCTACATTAGTTGTATGAGTTAAATTTAACACTGCGAATGAATATGAACTAAACTGCCTTCAGCATTAAGATTACAGTGCAACTAGGGCAGACTCTCGGGAGTTTAAGAATAATGGGGTGTGCCTTCGTAGGAATCACTTAAGTAAATCGGCTGATGGAGCCCCACACCTCCAATGCTCTAAAATTGCCTGGAGAGTATCATGTATTACGGTTTTCAGCCCAATTCTGCCCTAATTCAAGGCCAGATAAGAGGGTAGGCTATGTCCCTGCATCACATAACCCAAGAAATGTTCAAGAAACCAATATAATATATATAGTGTTGTTTTCGCATGAGATAAGCAGAAACATACACGGTATCATTAGTTGGAAACTAGCCAGGAGGTTATCAAGTATCTGCTTGAGTGGTAGAGCACTCAGAGTCCACTTGGCAAGCTGTGGTTGTGCAGACACACTACATAAAAGAAAAAGATGCATTGAAGTCCAACAATGATCAGATTCAGCTAATTTCAATTTACTGAAGAACTAAAGGAATTTTTAAGAACCAATCAAGAGCTAACTATGCTTCAGTCACTATATATAAGTAGCTGAAACTAATTCACAATTTCAGAATACCAGAAAGCACGTCTGACTAATCAACAATAAACACTGCATGTCCCCAGAATATCCCACGTCATTCAGATTGTAATGACACAAGGAGCAAAGAATAAGACGCATGGAGCAAAAAATGATGCAAACGAAGTTGTGGAATCAATTACATGAACAGAAGTTACTTTCTTGTACCTTTGCTTCATTGATGGGCTTGGTTTGAGCAGTAGTAAATGATTCAGGTCCAGAAGAAATAGACTTCGTAGAGCAAGCAGGCTACAATTTCATCACACGGTACCTCATAATTTAGTACTACACTACCACATATAAGAAAAAAGGTATTACATGTAGTCATGTATAGTCCCATACGCAAGAGATTTACTTGCCTCTTCTGCATGGAACTCCTGGACATTCGCTTCTTGAATTTCTGTGGAAGGGTATGTATCACACAGATCATGTTGTGAAGATGCTGCAAAAAGTAAAAGGCAACAAATTCAAAAGAAATAAAGAAGACAAAAACCATAAGTTCGTGCACCGGTTTTAATTCTTTACAAATGGTGTTGTGTTCATCAATAAAACAACATACGGAGTACTAAAATAGAGCCAATGTTCACGTGTTAACCCAACCCAACTCATCTCTAGCTTAAAGAAGACTCAATTTCCTTATAATAGTTAGCCAAGGAAAAAGTACAAATCTTCTTCTAGACTTTAAAGTGCTATATATGTAAATGCAATTTTCATTAAAATTTTTGTCTTGCCAATTGCCAATATAACCATCAACATCATAATTTTTCATGCCCAAGACAGGGTAGGGAGGATTGGATATTAAGTCAGGTGATTTATACAATACACCAGAATATAAAATCTTTAATAGGAGCTTTTTAGTTTTAGTTTTCTATGGATGAGCTTGACATAATTAATTCTTGAAGTCCAGAAAAAAGAAAACTTTCGAATAGTGCAAGAATCCAACCAATATGCAATTCCCCAATAGGTTGAAATTGAGACATGAAATAAGTGAATATACATAAGGTACAAAGCTTATGTAGACTTCAAAAATTTGAGCCTTGGGCCAGACAAGAGAAAGACCATGATCAACATATCAAGTACCTGTGCAACCGGCAAAGCCTCCGGAAGTAAGCAGTGATTCAGCATCCTTCCTCGTGCCAACCTTAGAATCTTCAGTCCTGAAGGCTCAATATGAAAAATATGAATCAGTAGATCACTAAGAATAATCACATATTGTCCAAAAAGAAATAAAAAAGGGAAGGAAGGACATCCACAAATTCTTAAGCCAAAAATTCAACTTCCTTAGTTTGAAGCCCCTTCGGCCCTTCCCCCCACCCCCAAATTGCTAATTTGACATATGTATGGACTGTATTCCCGTACTCTAGCTGGCAAGAAAACAAGTCAAAGAAATTAGGATTTAGGTTCACATATGACATATGTAAGTGTGATGTAAAGAATGCATGAAATAATATGTACATGGAATTCTTAGCATAAAAGTATTATTCTAATTTTCGGCTTAACATAATTTCTTAATATTGATCAATTCACATGATTTTCACTCATTTGCATTTATCTGTACTTACCTAAACTTATCTGGACTTATTAGAACTTATTCTAGTTGTAGTTGGAACATGAAATTCCCTTATTAACCCTTATCAAAACTTATTTGTCCTGAACTTATCTTATTAGAACTTATTTCCCCTGAAATAAGTGGAAATAAGGTGAAATGAACAAGTATTTATTTTTTTTCCTCTCTAATCTTTGGGGGGAGGAGGGAGGGATAGGTAGCAACGTACTAGGATTTAGGAAAGCCTATAAATGTCATATAATCTCCAGATGCTGATCATGAACGACAATGAAATCCAGAGCTTGACCTTCTCATTTCCTCTATGGGAATCGTACAAAATTTTTCCTTGCTTTCGATTATTGAGAGAAATGCTTCTTTGTCCTGTCATTTGGATCAGAATATCACAATTGGAAATATGTAGCATTCTGCAAATATGAAGAGAGATGCCATAGATTGTTGTTTTTACAATCTTGCCATGACAGCTGTAATTACCCTTTATACCATTAGATGTTACCAAAAAAATGTACATGAATATGAAGTTCAAAAGCTTTAGTAAACATACACAAGATTTAACAGGGTATGCGTCAATAACCTATTGAGAAAAGTATAATCCGATGACATTGATTAGTTTTTTCTCTTTTGAGAATGTAAAATCTGATGACCTTATTGATACTACACAGCTGATCATCACATTTTATACAATTATACATGTTAATTAGGTTTTATAAGAATGCCTAATCTATCAAATGGCAGATGTCCAATCAGGAAATCGGTATGATGATAGACAGTTGTCAAATTGTTATAATCCGTTCACATTAAGAATAAGCAAACAGTAAAACAGGGAAACTGATAATGACAACTACGCTAAAGACCTCATTCATATCTCTGAAAGCATGCTGGATCTTCTCTAAGACAACACCTAAACTCTTTAGTTCGGAATCCAAAGCCTGCAGTGGCATATAGAAAGTGAAAATTACAGCAAGGCAAAAATTAATCAAACTGAAAGGATGAACTACAAAAATCAGTACCTGCTTCTCTGATATTAAATTTTGTATAATAGCTTCCTTCTTTGATAGAGTTTTCTGAAGGTGACAGTAGTCAAAGCATAACATTTTGGAGATTGCTCACATATAGGAATTTAAGAAATCACTTAAGTTGCTCTAAAAATGCATAGATCAGAAGGATATAGTTTCCACTTGTGTTTGATTTTTGTTACTAATTCTTTGTGCTTCAATATGTGCTTCTAGCTCAGAAATAATCTTCTCTTTTCTCTGGAGCTCATCATTGTACTTCCCAAGCCTATTTTCCATTTCATTTATTTTTCCTGCATGACACAGCATCAAACACTGTTTAAGCCTGAATGAATCGAGAAAAGATTAGGTCAACTGGTGAGCTACAAAATAGCAATTACCCATAAGAACCTTCTCGGCCTCAGGAAGTCTGTCTAACTTTCTTTTTAAGCTGTTTACTGCACATATAGACTCAAAAAACGTTAATGGTAGAAAAAGAAGACAAGAAATATTGAGCGAATTCACAAGGCAATCACTGTAATAAATTTATATAAACTCTTTGCAACTAACAAAGTGAGTGATCAACAGAGGAAAAAAAAACTTTAGAATCAAGGTTTTTACATACCGACTTCCTCTTTTTCATTGACAACATGCCGCACACCATCAACAACTTGCTTTACAGATGATGCCTCCTTTTCAATAGCATCAAACAGTAACAAGTGTGACTTCAACTTCTCTGAGAGAAACTTGAGCTTCCGATCTCTTTCTTCAATTGAGCGTTTCATATCATAAGTTGATTCCTGAAACCAACCAATATATATGTATACTCAATGCTCTAAACCCCTCTGTATCCAATAGCAGAAGGTCCATTTGGACTAAAATAGAAGTGCAATCCAAAGCTGTTACTATTGTTAAAAAAAAAAAAAAAAAAGGAAGAACAAATATCGGTATAGCCCAGTGTCTCACAGGATAATAAGATATAATATAGCATTCATTAGCCTGCTAAACAGTAAACAATGAAGTTTTAAATATCCAAATGACTTAAGTCACATCTCAAACCAACTTACAGGTCTTACCTTATGGCAAAAGCTATGTTCAAAATTCGTCCAAAGAACTCATACTAAATCACTTGAAAAAGCTTAATGATACTTGACTAGTTTGCAAGTAGAGTATAAGTTTCGACCATGAATCCGTGATACTAAGCACTAAATGTACAACTCATAGTTGGGTGACCTCTTAGTCTTATCGCAAAGCCATTTATACTTTAGACTATAGTTGTACTTATGCTCGATTGTAAGTATTAGGTGATGTCTAAGTGCTACTTAAATAGTTAAATGTATCAAACCCACAACATAACATCTTGAAACTCCATCAACAACAATTGATGCAAAGCTATTCCGCTCTATTAAAGATTTCAGAGAAATCAGCTACATGATCATTAGTCATAATCAAACAAAATAAAGCCGTGACCAAAAGAAAACCTGATAAGCATTAACGAATTGCTCCCTTGATTGAAGAAGGCTTTGTATAGTGCAATTCAGCTCCTTTTGCTTGCTCTCAAGTAAAGCATTATCATTCTGGAGATAACTTACCTATCACAACAAACAACAATACTTAACAAAATTGAACCAGTTTCTCTCACAGGAATTTCATCGAACAGTTGATGTGCAAAAATACAAACCTTCCTTTCTAATTTCTGACGTACTTCAGCTGATGAAGACAATTCAGATTCCAATTCCTTCAATTTCCTCCCAAATTCTTCTTCTGATTGCTTCTGCTTCTGAAATTCAAAACAAAAATTACAAAAATACTCCATAATCAAGCTGAAAACTGCGGATTATACAGAATTGAAAGTGATTGGAAAAACCTGGGTTGAAAGGTGGAGTTGTTCTGTAGCAGATTTTTCTCTTTCCTGATTATTGCACAAGAGATGAATTAGAGAAGAGAGAGAGAAGAAAAAGGAGAGAGAAAGAGAGAATGGCTTACTCGAAGATCTTTGACCTCGGAGATTAGGGCACGAAGTTGGAGCTTGAGTCTGGAGAGTTTCAGCAACTCCATTTTCCCTCCAAATTTGCTCTCTTCCTTCGGCTTCTACCACAGTCTACAGACCTTTTTACTCTTTAATTCAAATATTAACCAATTTTCAAATTCATTTCCTCCCCCTTGACTCCTTGAGTCTTAAGTTCTTAACTACATCAAAAATGTGAATTCAAGTGTCTGAAGGCGTGTTCACTTTAAATTAATTTCAGTTTTGTTTGGTTCAACTTCTAAAATCTTCTTTCGTATGGAGTGAAATATTCATTTCAACTCTATTCAGTTCATCAATGAATGAACAGGTCGGATTTAGTAAAGTTGAGATGAATTTATTTTTAAATTTAACTCATGCTAAATTATTAGTCCCACCATTTTTTTAAATACATCACTTCTCTTCTTAAGGATGCTTTTTTTTTTTAAAAAAAAATACACTTCTATACGGAGTACTATATCATAGATTTATACGAAGTATTATTTTATGCGTATTACTTTAAACCACACTTGAATTATTTTATTATTTCTCTTCCTCTCATGGTCCCCACTTAAATAACACTCCGTACAACATTTACTTTTATCTCACATACTTTCTATTTTATGATCTTCATCTTTATTTTACTATATAAATTATTCATCCACTCACACAATATTAGACCATCTCTAATGGTGAGACTCAACTTTGAGTATTAAAATACAAAATGAGTTGTTTTTTTTTTTTATCTCCAATGGTGATACCCAACCTACTTCTCAATTTAGCAACTCATGTGAAGTCTAATTTTCAATAGTGAGACTTTCTAAAAGATACTAATGTCACTTTCAATTTATGGCCCACCAAATCATATTATAAGTTTTATTTAGAAAAAAAATAAAATTAAAACTTAAATAAATTACAAATCATATTATAATATTGATAAAGACCCACACTTTTTGTCAAATGAGACTCAAAGTTGAATATCTAAACTTAGCAACTTTCTTTTGGAGTTGCTAAGTTTAGATACTGTACCAACTTATTGGTATACATTGCAAAAAATACTTTCTCTCTCCTAAAAATACTCACTTGAGTCTCACCATTGGAGAGGGTCTTATATTAATATCCTAAAACTCTACGCATCACTAAGTGATACATTAAAAAAAAAAAAAATGGTAAAGAGTATACTCAAATAAGTGATATCTCAATGTTATTTTTTTCAAGTGAGCTTAGTTGGATAGGTTTTTGACACTTCTAAATTTATAAGCACAGTCATTATTATTTGTCCATTTTAATTGTAATCCTCATTTTTTTTTAATCATATGATACCTCCACTCTATTTCACCTATGATTAACCCGTGGCCATTAACACAGTGTCATTTAATGTTCAAAACCTCAAAAAATCATGGTTATGATCTGAGCATGCATTTTCTATCCTAAAATCCCACTTTTCATTTAATTTTTTTAATTCTTTCTCTCTTGATGCTTAACCAAAATATAATTTGTAGTCAAAAAAAATATAATTTGTAGTCAATGGTTTAGCCTTGCTCTAAAGGACTTAAGATCCTCGTGTACTTGCTTACTTGAATGAGTAAGGTAATGCCAATTCACTTACTCGTTAAAGTAATGTAACTATTTGCTTACTTAGCTTTGGACAAGTAAGAATGAATGACACATTCTAAAGCTAAAGAGCACACTAGAATGTGCTTCGAAATGTGTTAGCAGGTGCCGGAGCCGGAGTCTTGTTCTATTTCTATGTGCTTTGAGGTTGATAAACTTAAGCTCCGCCCACTAGCTAGATGGTTATGTGTCATGCTACAACCTATTTTTTCATTAACGTGTTAATTATTTTAGCAACGAAATTGATAGAATGAGGTAATTAATGTAAACTACTCCCTATGTTTTCTTTTGTTGTTTAAAAATATGGAAACTATTGAATGTTAAATGAAACCATATGATGAAGTAAAAGATATTTGGGAGTTATTTTGCCAAAATTGAAATAAAACAAAATTTGGAAGAGCAATGCAAAAAAGTTGATTAAAAAAAAAGCTGAGCAAATGTTGGCAAATTGGTCCGCATATGACCATGTCTTTAAACTAGTGCATTGTATCTAAAACGAACTAAGAAAACATCGTATCGTGGTGGGCTTAAATAAAAGCTCATGCACAATCTTAACTTTATGTCGACGGTAATTTTATTTAAGTTTTTTTTTGCTATTTAAAAAAATAATAATAAACTAGCCAACGCACTTACCATTGCTGATTCCTAATTTCAAAATTTCTGTCTCTTTTGTGTCTAACCCCTAACTCATAAGTCAAGACCAGCCAGCTCTTGATCTATTTGCATCTCATTCATTTAATTTCCTTGCTAATTGCCTTTATGGCTGGTTTGGTGCATAGGGGCCATGGCCTAAGGGAACAATCATAATGTTATCGCCTTGTACGTCTTCAAGTACAATAGAAAACAGCTGGTTGTGTCCATTAATATACAAGTATAATGTATCATCACATATAAAATTTCCAATTTGGAGTCTATATATTATACATGCATGCATCAATACATTATACATCCCATCGCATTAGTTGTTGTTTGTCAATAGTTCTTAAAATAATTGATTAAGATTTTAAGGGTCCATCATCATCCTTGGATCCATTTATAGCTTTAATCTGTATGGTAATATGGGACTTCTAAACAAGTTCATGTATGTGTCATGTGTATGATGCTCTCATCATTCCACAAGTCTTTCATTCTATATTATCATAAATTTAAAAACGAGACAACATGGATTATACTAGACTTGAAATCTATCTTGAATCAAAAAGACAAAAAGTTATGTTATATCTAATTAAGTAATTAATCAGGCATGTATATTGTATATGAAATTTAAAAGATTTGATGATAAAATCCATACATTAGTATAATGTGGAAGGGTCATTAGTATAATGTTGAGACTACTGGATCACAACCCAAGTCTACTGGATCACAGCCTAAACATAAGCAGTCCAAGACTGAAGACCAAGAAAGGAGACAAGTCAGCAAAGTTGTTATATCAACTTCTGCCGAGTCAGCAATTAGTTTTGTTATTTTCTTTAAGTTGTGTTTTACTATATAAGTAGTTAGTTAGCTTCATTTACTCATTCATTCAATTCTCTCATAAAACACTTTTCTCTCTCTACTGTAGTGAAACTTTCTCTCTCTACTGTAATAATGGAGGTTTTCTCCTTAATCAATAAGAATTAGTTCTAGTTAAGGCAAGAGCTCGGAATCTACGGATAGAGCAATGAAGCCAAGAAAATAAATCTCTGTGTCATGTTCTTTGATTTCTGTTTTTTTTGTCATGGTATCAGAGCAAAATCACGAGCGATCGATTTAGGGTTTCCGCGATTCTTTGAGGTATTTTTCCGCAAATTCCAGTATAAATTCTTCTAGATTGATATTTTTCTTGTTGACTTGAGGATTTTTTTCTTGAAGAAATTCGATTAGTTGATTTCGATTGTTCGAATTGGTTAAGATTATTTGTTTTTTGAGGTGTTTTTTGCTTGAAGTTGTTGTTTGAGGTTTTTTCTGTGAATTTTTCAATGGAATCACAAGGAAATAGAATTCTAGAACCTACTCAAGATCCGAGTTCAGTTTATTACATTCATCCTGCTGATAGCACTAGCCTTAAGGTGTTTTCTGAAGTATTTGATGGAGAGCATTATAGCTCGTGGAAGAGGTCTATGATTCCGTATTTGTCAACTAAGAATAAGATGTGTTTTGTTGATGGTAGCCTTCCTAAGCCTGTTGTCACAGATCCTAAATATAGAGCTTGGATTCGATGCAATGACCTGGTTATAAGATGGATCTTAGGTACTCTAGGACCATTGGTGACTAAGAGTGTTTTCTTTTATAAGAATGCTCAAGATATTTGGAGAGATCTTGAAGAAAGATATTGTCAGACTTCGAATGCTCAATTATATGCTATTCAGGAAGAGATTTTTGGTACACATCAAGGAAATGATAGTATTCCAGAATATTATGCAAAGATCAGGAATCTTTGGGATCAATTTGATGATGTTTGTCCTATCCAATGTGTACTTGTAATGGATGCTCTTGTAATCTAACTGCTAAATTCTTGAAGATTCAGCAAGATCAAAGGTTACTGCAGTTTTTGATGAGACTTAAGATGGGATATCAACAAATAAGGAGTAATGTGTTGTTGATGATGCCATTACCACCTCTTAATCAGGCTTACAATTTTTTGCTACAAGAAGAAAGGCATAAACAGCTTAGTGACACTACTGGATCTACTGAGTTCTTGCTTTTGCTGCAGACAGGTATTATTATAACAAGACATACAAGCCACCTCATATGTCAAATCAGAATTCTGGAAATTTTGGAAGTCACAACAATACTGGAAGATTTTATACTGGTAGTTATTCTGGAAGTCAAGGCACAGGATACAAGAAGAAGGATTTGTTTTGTGAATACTATAAGATGACAAATCACACTGTGGACAAGTGTTTTAGGCTGCATGGTTATCCATCTGACAAGCCTACACAACATAAGAAGTATGCTCATTATGCTCAATCTAATGATAATGAGGGACAAATTGAAGATACTGAGATGAGTTCTGCCTTCACCAAGGATCAGATCAATGCTATTATGCATTATATGAAAAGACAGAAAGATGTTAAACATGATGATATTCCTGCAGAATCCCCTGAGACTAGTAACTGTTCAGCATTCTTTGCAGGTAAACTCTGTCTCCTTTCTCATTTCAAATCTAGTTGGATAATTGACAGTGGAGCCACTGATCATATTTGCTATAATCTGAGCTTGTTTGATACATACACTGAGTTGCATAGTAAAGATAATACTATAACCATTCCTGATGGTAGGAAGATTCTGGTAACTCATATAGGAAATGTGAAAATTAACAGTCACATAACTCTGAAAGATGTGTTGTATGTCCCAGAATTTCAACTTAATATCAGTACATAAGTTGTGCTTATATAATCATTGTTTTGTCAAGTTCACAAGTGATACTTGCTTAATACAGGAGCATTCACAGACTCAAGAGATTGCTCTTGGTAAGTTCTGCTCAGGACTGTATTTTGCAGATCAAGGTTCTGTTGCTAAGCTGAATTCTCCCACTGGTGATTCTACTATAAC